ATAAGGATGGGTTTCCCCTGCTTTGTGGAGTATGCATAAGGCAAATGTACTTCACAGGGCCTGGTTTTCCAAAGCCTTGCAGCTTCAAATATTAACCTTACAAAGGAATGGAAATTTTCCCCAGGCTGTATAGTCTGTTGTGAGATCAAGATTTGTAACACAGCAAGGTTGCTGGCTCAAAGGCAGACAGGTTACTGATTGATATGTAGAGATACTGGGAAATTGCTGTAAGAGGACAGTGTTTGCTAAAATCAAGCGTTTGTTGCACATTGCATTATGGAATGTCACCTTGCTTGCCTTTCTGAAAGTTACCAGCTTCTATTGTTAAACTTGTTTAACTATACTTAGCAAAAACCCCACCTATGTACTCTTCCTGTAACTTCCTGGTCTGGAGAAAAAATGCGGGAATAGAACCCCAACTCATGGTTGATTTCCCAAATGGAAGGAATACCTCGTTATTGAGGGTTCGGGGAGATTAACCCCTTTTCGGGGCTTCTCACTGCTCAGAAGAGATGGGCTTTGAGTAATCGTTGGCAGCTCCATCACACAGGGGAAAAGGGGTGACAAATCTGTGGGAGGCAAAGCAACACTGCTTCGCATCCCATAGTTATTCAATTTATCCCCAGTTAGCCCTCACAACTTTTTTCCTAGGTAACACTCAGCATCATCTCTTCTTGTAATTTTTTCTTTATTCCAATGAGAACTAACGATTAAGAGTGGAAAAGAACATGACTTTTAGGTTCAGGCTTCCCTTGTTATTGTAATGTTTGCTGGCTGTTTTTTTTTTTTTTTTTTTTTTTTTTTTTTTTTTTTTTTTACACGTTTCATTTAAAAACCCAGTAAAGTAGAGCTAATTTATTAGTTCAACAGCAAAAAAAAATTAATCTGCAAAGAATATTTTTCTACTCCTTGAATTTCACTTCTTATTCATATTGTCTGCATTTTACTTCTGACTTGGGTAGCATGACTTGCCTTTAGTACCAAATCATTTTCCCAACAATAAATAAGAAGTGTTGAGAAGAACGATTTTTCTATTCCTGTCTTCGACTAGATTTTCTAGTTACTGTTATTTATTCTTAGTAAACTAATTACCTGGATACAGCCAGTTAGGAAAGTTGACAGGTAGGTAGATACATAGGTAGATAGAGAGATCTATAGACAGAGCTAACACACTATCAAACAAGAATTAATAATTTATACTTGAGAAAAATCTAATATTTCTTCTTTTTCCTTTACCTAGTTATTCTAATTGTCTCCAGTTATGCCTTGTTAACTTCTTACATATTCACAAAAACTCTGTAGAGTATTAACTCATTGTTTTAATAAAAAATAACAACTGAGACTTGAGAAATGTGTCTTTTCTGCTTCCATTCTCCTATTTATTCTATTTGCTTCTGTTTGTCTCTAGTTAACTAGTTTTGCAAGGAGCAGTACCCATCTGCAGTACTTCCTCTGTTCAACAAAATGCGAGAATTTGGAGTTGAATAGAATGTGATATTCAGCTTTCTGGCATCAACTAGTTAGTTTAGTTATTATCAGTTGTACTAAGTCAATATTATGAAAACATAAGAATTTAGATCAGACAAGACTGTTTATTATTTTCAAAAGCCTAGATATAAACTTGTTTTAGAAATTATGTCTAATAAATTAGTTTAAGTACTGCTAATTGTGATCATCACTAACACATTATTTCAGGCAGATAGAAGAACCTAGAGTTTAGAACACGGTACTGTGTTTTCTACTCCCTCCCTTGAAATAGTTAACTCTAGATAAATTATTAGTGAGAAACCATTAATTATATAGAGGAATAAAACTATATTTCAACATGAGATAAACAGTTAGAGTTAAAGGTTTTGAGCCCTTTCCCACCTGTTGTCCTTGTTATCTCTACTTACTGCTAGCAAACTGGTTATATAGGTACTACTTGATATCTTCAGTACTTGATTTTCTGAGAAAAAAATGTAAAATGTTAGATTTTAGAAGAAACTCATTTTAAATTTACTCCCTTAAAATATTCTTGTTATCCCAAATTTTCTTTCAGTATGAATAGCTATCTACATACCACTAGTCTCTATATAACCAATGCCTTACATCAGCAAGATATAAGAATAGCACCAACTATTTCTCTAGGTGTTTCTAGTTATCTCTAGTAAAATTGTGACCTAGCTAGTGATAGTACAGTCCTCACAATCACATAACTTCTTAAAGGCCTCACGTCTCAATTACCATTTTAGGATTTCCCACCCTCTTAATGGAGATCAAGTCTCCAACACATGAACTTTTAGGGTACATATTCAGCCCACCGCATCATGCTTACTTTTATACCCAACTAATTATTCCTAAAGGAAATAAGGATTTAGAATCGAGAAGGATATTTTTCATCATCCTAGCACCAAATACTTATGGATATTTCTTTTTATTACTATCTATATATTACCTAGGTACCATTACACATCTACAGGACTACCTCATTGTTCCATCAAGAAATGAGAAATTTGATGGGCCAACCCATGGCTCACTTGGGATAGTGTGGTCCTGATAGCACCAGGGACACGGGTTTGGATCCCTATATAGGGATGGCCATTTGGCTCACTTGGGAGAGTGTGGAACTGACAACACCAAATCAGGGGTTAGGATCCCCTTACCAGTCATCTTAAAAAAAAAAAAAAAAAGAAAGAAAGAAAGAAGAAATTTGAGTTGTAAATTCAAATTTCAAATTTACGAGGTAAGAATTTTGAGGGTAAAAGAGTGGTTGTTCTTAACTATACAATAGTTAACAATGGCTGTTGTTAACTGTACAGTAGTTAACAATGGCTGTTGTTAACTATAATCACCTTGCTGTGCATTAGATCTCCAGAACTTATTCATATTGAATAACTGAGAATTTGTACCCTTTGTGTATCGTTAACAATGCTGTACTGTATACTTTAAACTTACTGGGAGCATAGATCTTTACTGTTCTGTATATGCTGCTGTAGTTGGATGCAGTAGTCTATAAATGTCAATTATATCCAGTTGATTGCTGGTGTTGTTGAGTTCAGCTATGTCCTTCCCAGTTTTCTGCCTGCTGGATCTGGACACCTGTAATACAGGCATTTAAAGTCTCCATCTAAGATAGTGGATTCATCTCTGTCTCCCTACAGTTCTATCAGTCTTTGCCATGTAATGTGATACGTGGTTAAGTACTTACACATTAAGGATTGTTATGTCTCCTTGGAGCACTGAACCCCTTTATCCTTACGTAATGCCCTTCTTAATCCTTGATAACTTTCCTTGTTTGGCAGTCTGCTCTGTCTGAAATTAAGATTGCTGCTCCTGCTTTCTTTTGATGAGTGTTAGCATGGTATATTTTTCTCCATTCATTCACTTTTAGTCTATACATTTCTTTATATTTAAACGGGATTTCTTGGAGACAAAATATAATTGCATCTTGTTTTGTGATCATCTCTGACGATGTCTGAATTTAATTGGTGTATTTAGACCATTCACATATAAGGTGTATTTGGTGTACTTAGTCCATTCATATTACTGGTAGAGGTGGATAAATATCTACTGTATTTGTTAGTTTTCTATTTGTTGTCCCTGTTCTTTGTTCTTCGTTTTGTCTTCCACTATTAACTGCTTTTTGTTGTTTATATGATTCCATTATTTGTCCTTTCTTAGTATATTTCTTGTACTTCCTTTGCTACCTTTTTTAGTAGATGACCTAGAGTTGGTAATATACACTTACAACTAACGCAAGTCCACTTTCAATGACTCTGTACCACTTCATGGGGTGTGTGAGCTCTGTGTATAATATGATATGAACAAATCATGCATAATTGTCTACCTTTAGCTATTATTCTGGACAAAGTATTATCTGTCAGTTATTGTAAGAATTAGAAAAATAAAAGGTTTTATTTCACCGTCACTTATTCCTTCTTTGATAGTTTTCCTATCTTTATGTACATCTGTGTTTTTGACCTGTATCATATTCCTTCTGTCTAAAGGACTTTTAACACGTCTTTCAAGGCAGAACACTGGCAACAAATTCCCTTAATTTCTGTTCTCTGAGAGGGCCTTTATTTAGCCTCCACATTTAAAGGATAATTTTGCAGGGTAAAGAATTCTAACTTTGCCTTTCTTCTCTCAACAATTTAAACATTTCACCCTACTCTCTTCTTGCTTGTTTGCTGTCTGATGATAAGTTGGATGTAGTTCTTATCCTTGTTCATGTACATGTAAGGTTCCCCCCCTTCTGTCATTTTTCTGGACTGTTTTTTAAACTTTAATTTTCTGTAGTTTTACCATGATGTACCTAGGTTTAGCTTTCTGTGCACTTATCATGCTTGGTATTCTCTGACATTCCTAGATATGTAGTTTGGTGACTGACTTTAATTTCTGAAAATTCTCAGTCTTTACATTTTCAGTTTTTGTTCCTTTTTCTTTTTTTTTCTTTTTTTTTTTTTTTTGGCAGTTGTCTGGTTTGGGGATTCAAACCAGTGACCTGGAGTCCGGGGACAGGGAGTGACGGCGGGCGGCAGGGAGATGCAAGGACAGGGTGAAGCCCAAGAATCTCAGGGACCTAAAATGCCCCAAACGCGCCCATCCCACCCACTCCTCTGTCCTGGCCAGTGTCTGCCGGCTCGGCTCCAGCAGGTCCTGTCTCTCTCTTTGGTCCACCCTAAACACCCCAGCAGGTGACATCGCCACACGCCATGCACGCCCCACTCCCACAGCCACACCAGTCTGCACTGTTTTGGCTCATGAAGGCCCCGCCCCTCACCACCCTGCAGCCTCTTCCGCCCTTGGGGATGTTGGGATCTCTAGCTCCGCCCCCCGGGCACAGCAAGCCCCGCCCACTCCCACGACTGTGACACAGGCGTGACGTCACCATGACGCCAGCGCGGCTGCTCCCATGCGCTCGCGCTGCCCCCACGCTGCTGCTAGGCAGCCATTGCTAGGCTTGTGTCCACCCGCAGGCCTTCGCCTCCCGCCTCCCGGTGCCGGCTGCGCCCGCCATGGACGAGTCTGAGGTTGTGTCGGACCCCGAACTGGCCGCCCTGCCGCTCCAGTTCATCCCGCACGGGAACGTCTTGGGTACGTGGCGGCCGGAGGCGGTCGGGTCCCCTCCCGGGACCTGCTCCCCGCGTTTCGTCCCGCTCCTTCCCCCGCACCCGTTCCCCGTGTCCCCCCTGTGCTCTCCCCCAGGTTTGCGGACCATACCCCTGACCGCCCTGCGCCCCGTGTCTGGCCAGGCTGCACTAACAATCTCTTGGAAGAGGAAATCTTCAAGTGCATCACCCAGAGGCAGAGGAGGCTTTTGCTCTCTAACTCGTCTGCCTCCTCCTATGGGATCTCCAGTGAGACCCAGCCCCAGAGGCCCACCTGGCCGCCCATGGGATGGGAACGGGGCATGGGAGATGGGGAGGATGGGTCGGGACTGTGTGGCAAGGGCGTTGGCCGATTGGGGCGCTGTGGAGAAGGGAGGAAATCCTGGGGGGCACATGGACTGTTCCCCCTGCCCAATTCAGACTTGTATTCAGCACTCGAGGGCTCATCGGATATGTACATTCTGCCCAAGAAAGAGGACACCTCACTTGACCAGAGCAAGAGTAAGGCAGGAATGGGGTGGGCACCCTGATACCTGCAGCCCACTCCGTCAGGGACCCCGGTCTCAGGGAGAACCTGAGGCCCAAACCCCCCCACCTCTCAGCAACCCTAGGAGGGAGAAACTTTGTCATAGGCCCATAATGGAATTACAGATTAGTTCCATTGGGCCAGGCAGGGGACACCGACGCTTCCTCTGCTAAGCATGCCCCCTTCCTAAGGCTGTAATGACGAGTACTATGAGGAGAGTTACCTGACCACCAGGACTTCCGGGGAGGCCGATTCTGTGGGTACATCCAAATGCTTCCACCAGCGCCTGACTTAGCTCTCAGTTGCTGACTCCTTCCACCACCAGGTTAGCTGGCTGTCAGGCATCTTGTACTTTGATCCAAACTGAGGGGACCATAGCTGGGTTTGGGCAAATACAGTGCAGGAGGGGAGACACTGTGTGCACCCTACATTCCCCAGGGAGAGTTAGGGTCAGCAGACACCTGTTTGTTCAGTGCCCTACTATGGGGATCCGTGAGATCTATTTGACTTGAGTGCATGGGACGGCACATGGCCTGGACCCTGGTCTGAGATCTAGGTGCATACTCTTTCTGAGAATCCTTAGGATAGAAAGGAGGGTGCTGGAGCACAGGCAGCCAGAACAGTCAGTGAGCGAGTGGCAAGGCCCCACAGACAAAAGGCCGGGAACCCAGAAGATTCTGCAAGGGGCAGGTCCATGGCCTTTAAATAATGGTCAGAGTGTGCTGGCCAAGGAAGTTTGGACTGAGGGATATGATAGGGCCATGGTGATCCCACCAACCAGTTCCCTCACCCTGACTTCCTTCTGCAGATTCGAGATGACAGTCTTTTGTCTTCTTCGGAAGAGGACAGCGGGTAGGTGAGTACTGGACAGGCCCAGGGACGGGGCTGGTTCTGGGCCCAGGCTCTCCTGGCCCACTTGCTCACCTCTTTTCCCTCAGGGAACACCCCAAGTATGTCTTGGACAGTTCCTACCAGAGCATCGCACACTACAGCCGCATTTCCAGCATCTCCAAGAGCTCCAAGGACCTATCCTTTTATCCTACATCCTCCTCCTCCTCTTCTTTATCCTCATCTTCATGTTCCTGCTCTTCATGTCTCACCCAATACACCATCCAGCCATGAAAGCAGGCCCTTAGGGTCCCGTTCTGGGGCCAGCTGCTGCTTTTACTGCTCTTAAATGCCATCCTCCTCTTTGTTTACTACTACTGGGAGCTTCGAGTGGGCAACCCCTTCTGGATGGAGCCCTTAGGGTTTTTGGCTTCAGAGCCAGCTCTTCTCAGAAGTCCTGGCTGACTTCTTCAAGCAGTATTTGATGGGGGTGAGGGTGGAGGTTTTTCGTGTGTTCTAGCTTCTGGAGGCTGGGCCTAGCCCGAGGCAGTGTTTGTTCTCCCTGCCTTGTCCTGCCAGGGAGGCAGCAGACTCAGGCCCTCCAGTGTATGGTGGTCCTGGGCTTGTGTTCCTCTGGAGCCTCCTGGCCCTGGTTGCCTGTGACCCTTAAGTCCTGGGAGGGAAAGAACTGACTCCCGAGAAGAATACGGTTGTTGTCATGCATGTCTCTTGTTCATTGAAACCTTTTTGGCCAAAGGCCACCCTGACTTTATTTTCATGGACACACAATAAAAAGACCATTTATTTGTAAGGTATTGCCTGTTCCTGCTGGGGAGGGGTTGGGCTTCCATGGCATGGGGCCTCTGGTCTTGGGTCTCAAGAATCACTATCTGGCTTTGCATTTCTGTTTTGGTCTTGGGCTAGGGATCAAATGCTACCCATAGATATGTTTGTGATTTGTTTGTGGGGTTTATTCCTTAACTCATTCCACAAAGCTTTTACAGTGTGCATAGGTTACATGCAAATACTACACCATTTATATAAGTGACTTGATCATCAGTGGATTTTGGTATGTGGGTGGGGTGGGGCGGGGGGGTGGGAGGTGTTTTGAAACCACTCCCACAAGATACTGTGGGATGCCTACTTATAAAAATAACTATAGTACAACAAAGTGTGTGGAGAGAACCCAGTTGGAAATGCAGCATACAGGTAGTCTGCAGTGTTTTAACCAGGAAAAGCCAAAGTCAACCTCAGCATCCAAGGGCACATAGCTTGTGGAGCATTCCTGAACTCCTGGAATTGCTGCTTATTTAATGACACAAGGGAAAAAGCTTCAAAGATCTGAAATTCCCCATCATTTCTGGGTAATCGAATTCTTCATATGTCTGTATTATTTCTTACCTGTTGGGTTTTTATTTTATAATCTTTGAACTTTACATATATTAAACATGAGTGCTAACTCACTAGGATAGAATGCCATGTGACACCTTGCATACCTGGCTCTACGATGCCAGCAGACATTTGCAATGCTGTCTTACACACATAGTATGCAATGATGGAATCCTAAGCAAAGAGGAGGAACCCAACGTTTTATACAACCACATCTCAGGGTGAGAAGGATGGTTAAGTTTCATCTGTCACAATCCCCACAACCTGTGTCCCCAGGGAGCACCTTCATTCATTTGTAGGCTTTCTCTTTGGGCTGAACATTCTGATGTTGAATCAAGAATGAGGATTCAGTGAAAGAATTGTGACACTCACAGGACCTTGCTCTAGCATGACTTTTCTGGTGATGTACAAAGAATGCCTTCTGACTGACTGCTTTTGCACATACCTTACATCAGTAGTATTTGTCTCCCATGTGTGTTCTCACATGTTGCTTAAGGTGGGAGCCCTGGCTGAAGGCTTTCTTGCATTCTTTACATTTGTGTGGTTTCTCTCTAGTGTGAATTCCCTGATGTTCAATAGGGTGTACACTTCTGATAAAGGCTTTTCCACATTCTGTGCATTCATAGGGTTTCTCCCGTGTGTTTCTTGATGCTGAATAAGCCCCGAGGGGCAACTATGGCTCTTCCACACTTGTCCCATCTATAGGGTTCTTCAGTGAGAACAAAGAGGTGTCTAGAAAGGAATGAGGTATCAGTGAAGGCCTTCCCATATTCACCACATTTAGAGGGTCTCTCTCCGGGGAGACCCTGTGGTACTGGGTCAGGTGTGTGGTGCTGATTAAGGGACGAGCTTTTGCAGAAGACATTCCTGCTCTCAGGGCAGCTGTAGGGCTTCTCTATGGGGCTTGGTGATGGAAGAGCACTGACTGTAGGCCTTTCCACATCCCTTTTCTCCATGTGAATTCCCTGATGTCCAAAAAAATCAGAATGGTCACTACACTGCCAAAGTCTCTCTCACTCAGACGCCCAGCTGAGTAATCAGATCTAAATTCCGCATCATGGTCCTGACATGTGTGTCCCATGTAGGAGACTCTCTCCTGTACGAATTCAGCTCTGTGCAACGAGGATTGACTTCAGGTCGAAACTTCCCTGAAAAGGACTGTGCTCATAGGGCACACCCTCCCCAGAGTTTCTCTGGTGCTATCTTGCTACTTGTCCCAGATGTCTCTCCAAGTGGATGTCACATCCCCAAATCTCATACAGCATAGAGTCCCAGAATGAGCCTTCTTCAGAGATGTCCTGCTGGGCTGTTGATTCCATAAGGACAGGTCTGGTTCCCCAATCCGAAAGAAAATACAAAAGTGGAAGCTGGGCTAGGGTCATGTGATGGAAATTAGTGATAATTCAGTCTGCTTTTGTGTTGCTATAAGAGATTGACTGAGAGTAGGTAATTTATAAAGAACAGAGGTTTATTTGGCTTACGATTCTGGGACAGCTGCCTCTAGCACAGGCCTCAGACTGCTTGTACTCTTGGTGGAAAACTACAGAACAGCCAGCAGGGGGCCGGCCCGGTGGCGCACTGCTACAGTGCGCCACTTGGGAAGCGTGGCGGCACTCCCGCCGAGGGTTCGGATCCCACATACAGACCGGCCGCTCACTGGCTGAGCGAGGAGCGGGGGCAACACAGAGGGTTGCGATCCCGTTGCCGGTCCCGGTCCGGTACGGGCGCGACACTGAGGGTTGCGATCCGTTGCCGGTCACGAAAAAAGACAAAAAAGACAAAAAGACAAAAAAAGAACAGCCAGCAGGTGCAAGGAGATCATATAGTGTGATGAAGCAAGAGAGAGGGGAGGAAAGGTGCCAGAGTCCATTAAACAACCAGCTCTCAAAGGAACTAATTGAGCGAGATCTCACTCACTACTCACCCCACACCCCCCCATGGGGAGGGCGATAATCTATTCATGAGGGAACCGACCCCATGAACCCAACACATCCCAATACTGCCACATGGAGGATGACACTTCAACATGATATCTTTGAGGGGACAACATATCCATACTATACCAAGTGACTTTGAGGCACTCACGGTGTCAACAATTCAAAGAGTCAGCTCCACACTTTCCAGAGACAGTTTCAATAGGAAGTCATGGACGGGGAGGCTGCTGTGACATAAGTGGTGCATGAGAAATGGACACAAGGAGAGCCTGGCGAGGGCAGAGGCCAGCTGGGAAAGAAAGCTGCGGGGAAGCCTGCAGAGAAGGGCAGAAGATAACGGAGCAACAGACGAAGATCCCAGGATTTGACCTTGGACTGGAGACATGACTGTGCCGGGCAGAGCCCCTCTGTTTTGCCCTCTCCAGTTGTTTGGACGATCCAATGGCCTCTGGGCTGGATTCCTTTTCTCCAGTTTCTCCCTACCACAATCAATCTTGCATATTGTCAGGGTAGAAAACACAAAACTCAGGGGTAGCGGTCGAATCTTCATCTCTTATTCCAGTTGTTAAATTTGTCCTAAAAAAGCATATACAGAAAGCAGAAAGATGCTGTGGTTTTGCTGATAAAGATTTTATATCATGGTTCATGATGCTAGAATGGTGATCTCTTGGCAAAGGGCAAAGTGCATGTCTCAGAATCAACTTTTAACGTATTTTCCAGAAGATTTATGAAACTGATGAAGGGACTCAAGAGAAAAAGTTTAACGTGTTTTCCAGAAGATTTATGAAACTGATAAAGGGACTCAAGAAGGAAAAAACACTGGTAAACCAAATGCTATGGTGGACAAGATAGTGACTCAGAGAAATACTGTCAGTTATTTCCAAGTGACAAGATGGGAGAAGTAGTTCAAGACCCATATAAGTAAGCCTTCAGCTGCCTGGACTCGTATACCATTAGATAAAGTAAGGGGGACAAACAGAACTAAACAAAATTGTTTACATGAACAAGGTTTAACACCAGCTGAGATTTGCGAGGAAGGATTCAGAAATAGATTATGGCAACAGAAGGGAAACCCCGGGAATGTGAAAGTAATGGAAACATCAGTAGTCTACTTTGAATTAGTAATAGCAGGAAAGGAAGACAAAGTTTGTGACTATACAGTCAAGCCATCCTAATATCCTCTACGCCCGTCACCAGCTCCATAGACCTTTTCTGATCCCACCTCCAACTCCCTCCAGTTGAAAGCAATCTTTGCCTCTTCTGAACTGTCAAACCCCTTTGTAATTATCTTATGAAATCTATGAGTGCCTACCTTACATTATATTCTCCTGGAGGGCAGGAGATATTTTGGATTGACACAGATCACCACACAATAATAAAACTTCGAATGAACAAAAATGTTTTCAAAAAATAGTCATAGACACCATAAGCAATAAATCTTAAAGGGAATCGGCCACAAGAGGAATGGGAGTCTACAATGTAGGATTCTGACTCTGTAACTGTGAATACTCCAGTGACAAAGAGACATGTTCACCTAGGGACTCAGTTTGGCTGCACTGGGGACATCTTATAAGGCATGCTCTGACAGAGACACATGCAAAGGAAGGAAAGATCGGCACACCACTAATGCTCAGTGTGGCGCGTGGCTCACTTTCCCTTCTTTGGCCATCAGGATGTCGTTCATTCCTGGTTTTCTTTCCACCTCAGTGCCTACCTTACATTATATTCTCCTGGAGGCAGGAGCTATGTTGGATTGACCCAGATTCCCACACAATAATAAATCTTCGAATGAACAAAAATGTTCTCATAAAATAGTTGTGACACCATAGATAACAAATCTTAAAGGGAATCTGCCACAAGAGGAATGGGAGTCTACAATGTAGGATTCTGACTCTGTAACTGTGAATACTCCAGTGACAAAGAGACATGTTCACCTAGGGACTCAGTTTGGCTGCACTGGGGACATCTTAT